ATATATATATATATATATTCCGAGCAGAGGCCCTTCTATCGGGAAACGTGGGAAGGTACGAGCTCGTCGAACACCGCCACGGTGAAACGGAGGCAGCACCCTCCGATAGCAACCGAGCCATGTGCGTCGTGCCCTGTGTGCGTCACGATTGCGCAACCGTATGCCGTAAGCGCGATACGATTATTCAAACCGGGGAAACAATTCTGTGCATTAAGTCGTAATAACATTGCGCGCCGGTATTTCCGATCCTCTTTTGTCGCCGGGACTCGCGAAACGCGGTATTTGGTACTCACAGCCCCGCTCGCGCTAACTATCGGGCGGCATTATGTAACATTTAACCACCCCCCCGAGCACGGCAGAAGTACAATAGATCATGAGTTCGCGAGTTACTGCGCGAACAATGCAATTACGAGAAACATTATATCGTGCGTTTCGCGATCTCACCTTGAGGGATGCGGCAGATGCTAATTTACTCAGTTTTAACATCAAAGTACCAACATAACGTCTATTCCTTTATGCAAACTTCAGCCTTCGTGTCGTTACAAACATATTCAATTAGTAATCTTGGGCAAATAAATGAATTCCAATCGCGGAGGAAACAAATGATGTTTCTGCAATTAGCAAATTGTTGAACGTTCTATGTCAATATATTTTTACAGTCGATCCGTTTCGGTGCGTTTCATGCGTTTTATTGACTGCCAAGCCAGTGTTTAGGGATTAAATACAAGCGGCGAGTGTAAGCGTCGATTGTTTTCTCAGTATATTTGTGTCAGTGACGATTTATCGTCGTAATAGCTAACACCCTTTATATCGCTTCGGTTCGCCGATTATACCGTTCGCGCTCGCTCGCTCGCGAAATCATTTCCGATCATTTTCGACGGAAGCTACGTTTTTGACTGCGCGACGTAAAGAGATTGCGATGGCCGCGTTTACGATATTGCTGACGGGAAATATGACGAATCAATAATTTCCTCAGCCTAGCATTTTATGATGGGGCATTAAACGAGCGATGGTTATCGGCGATTAATCGTTCGGCTGTCACTTGCACCGGCGCGTCCGCACTCGGTATGTATCGTGCCTTAATATGGGCGGACAATTTGCGTCCTTTATCTTCGACACGCACATGGAACGTACGCCTCCATTATTGCAGGCACGGCGTATTACTGTCGCGAGGATTATAGGAAAAATATCCCGCGCCTCACCGGGTACATCCTCATTATCGCGAGGCTATAAACTTGTCCGTCCTCATTATCTCGCAGGACCGTCCAGTATCAAGCGGTAAATTCCATTAATGATTCTACTTATCGCGACGCAATGCAAAATTGTAGAATACAAACGTAACGTTTCTCAACCATATTTCCAAGGCGTGGCGTATAAAACGAATATTAAATTTCGGGCTATAGAAAACGATCGATACATACGCTAGAATCGCATATTATAATCGAGATGACCGGTACCTCGTCATATTTATAAAACCACCATCTTCTTGGTGTAAGCACCAAGCTGCCACCTTCTGGCGCCACTCTACCGACGAAGGAGGGTGCTCCTGGGTGGAAACTCTCA